CCCCTAGCCGGCCCGGCCTCCAAAAACAACCAAAAGAGGGTTCCGGGACGGCCCAAGAGGGTACCAAGACGGCCCAAAACAGCCCCAAAAATAATCCTCTGGTCCGGAGGGTCACGAGGAGCTCAAACGCGAGCCCACACCGTTCCAATATAGCTTCCAGCAGTTCTCTTACACTCCACGAGGCCGTGGTTCGCAGGACGGTGGTTCGAAAGGACCTCCGAAGCCCCACAAGCGCCCAGGACCCCTCCAGGCATTCAGGAAGCGACCAATCGTCGTCGCCGCCGTCGTCGTCGTCGTCCTACGGGGGAGCAGGAGGTCTCGGCCTGTCATCGCGGGCTGCCGCCTCATTACTGCGTAGCCCGCTTACTGACGCCCCGAGCGCTCGCTCCCGCGGCCTGCCCGAGAGGAGGAGCAGGATGAGCAGGAGGAGGAGGAGGAGGAGGAGGAGGACGACGACGACGACGAGGAAGGGCCAAGTTTCTGAGCGCTTCTGGTCCCATCGGGAGCTTCCAGAGGCCCTCGAGAGACGAGCGCCCCATCTGCAGTTCAGACGAGAGCCCCATCGTCGCCGTTGTCGTCGTCGTTGTCGTCGGCGTCGTCGTCGTCGTCGTGGTGGTGGTTGTGGTGGTGGTGCTGCTGGTGGTGGTCCTCGCGATCGTGGTCGTATTCGTGGTCTCGACGCCCCTCCGCTGGAACACGCGATGACTTCTTCTTTTTCCGAGAAGCGTCCGGAACAAGGCGCATGGCGCGAAGCGCCAACGCAGGTACCCACGGAAACTTCTATGTATATCTGCCACGTGTGTGCTGCCAGTGCGCCCTGACGCGCCCGCCCGGCCCGGGCGCCCCGAGCGCCTGGCTCCAAGCGTGCTCCGGGCGACTCCCTGGGAAGCCCGCCCGCCCCCCCCCCCCGCATGCCCCCGCGGCGTGGCCCCGGGTGCCTCTTGTCGGGGGCGGCCAAGAGCCCAGACCTCCTCGAGTCATGAAGGAATCACGACGGAAGGTTTTTCTACATTTTCAGCCTCTGGGGGCCCTTGCCGGGCCTCGGGACCGACAAAAAACGATTCAGGATGAGAAGCCGGTCCCGGGGAATGGGTCCAGACCTTTGGGGGCGCGTCATGAACAAGTCATGACGTCCGGGGTCTGGGAGGGGGGCGTCCAAGAGGGGGGGGATGCAAATCATGGCTGGCGGCACGTGCGCGGCCCAGGGGGGGGGCCAGGCACGCAATGACACAAGGCAAGAGGTGCCATGAAGTCTGGGGAAGGATCATGGCCCATGTCATTATATTCACCCCCCGCCAGTCATCACCCCCCTCTTTGCCGCCCCCGACCTTTGGACTCCTGCCCCACAAGCCAGAACCAATTTCGGTGGCAACTCGTGGGGCCCTCCCATACCATCTTGTCGGCTCTTGCGACTCGACGCGGGTCGACGCTACAAAATCGACGCGAATCGACGCCAAATCGACGCTAATCGACGCTGGCCGACGCTAAATCGGCGCTATCTCATCGACTCTCAGGCGCCAGTCGACGCTAGTCGACGCTAAAAACATAAGTGCGAGGGTACCCAAGGCTCCAATGATTTGCCACCGAAGAACCAATGAAGTTCACTCTACATGCCCAACGGCAACTCCTCTTGCTACGAGCGATCCACATTGAAGACCTTCCGCACGGATCCTGAGATGTGCGCGCCCTGCTGACGCGACCCCGAGGTCTGGACCCATTCCCTGGGACCGGCTTCTCATCCCGAGTCGTTTTTTGACGGCCCCAAGGCCCGGTAAGGGCCTCCGGAGGCCGAACATAGCGAAAAATCTCCCGTCGTGAGCTCTTCATGAATCGAGGGGGTCTGGGGCTGCTACTTCTGCTGCTGTCGCATCACTTTTCCCCACTCAGTGCTTGTACCTAGCGGCTCTTAGTTATTTGTTCTCTTGGGAGCTGGGCCTGGTTGTCGGTCTCGGCGGCTTGTGGCCGCTGGTCGCCGCCGTCCTCGGTTACGATTTTGATTGTGCGAGGTAAACGCTTCACATTGCTTGGCATTGTTTGCTTTGCTTTGCATTGTTTTGCGCCGCGTAGACTGCACCACATGGGTTGCACCACATTGATTGCACTACCTGGACTGCGCCGCGTGGGTTGCAAGAAATCACTGGTTGGGGGTCAAGCGGGCTGACATTCATTGTTGTTTTCCTCATCATATGTTTCGATGTCCTTCTTCTCTGGCGCTTTGCTGTCCCGCGTACTCTGCTGCTGGTGCGCGTGCGGGAAGGCTATAAAAGAGAGAGAGAGAGAGTGATGCGCAGAGTCAACGCGTCAACGCATCATGCGAGCACGTCCCACGACGGGATGCGTTGAACAATTGCTGTCCTACTGAATACGCCGCTTCGCGTGGCAAGACCTGGACTCCCACCTTCGCCATGCCAACGCGCTGCGAGCATGCGGGTGTGGGGGGGGGGGGAACCCTGCACTCCGCTTCAGAAAACAATAGCGCATCGGATGGATCAGTGAAACCGGGGCCGGGAACCTCGACTCGTGGATCGAACTTTCGAACGTTCCCCTGACGAACGGCCAGTGCCGCGCGCCCGATATACACCATCATGCCGGTCCGCTACATGTTGCCTCAACCCGCAGCTACGCATGGCGTCTTGATCCGCAACGAAGGACGCGGGACGGCGCGAAGACAGACCCAACGGCCGTGGCCTCGTGCAGGCGGGGGGGGGGGTCCTGCATGTACGAGCGGTTTGTCTCCCCGTCTCTGTTCGGCACCATCGCGCCCAGGATCAGCTGGGTGCGCGGCAGCAGCGCCCGGACCCACCGCACCACCGTCTCCACGGCGGCGGCCGCGTCGCCGGCCCGCTCCGGATACGAGCCCGAGCCTGGGCGCAGGGTGCGCGCGCGCGCGGGCGAGGTGTGCGAGGCGTGGGCCGGGAGAGGGGCACTGGCCGCACACCCCTGTCGATCTGTACCGACTTATCCTCCTCCTGGTCATCCTCCCTCCTCCTCCTCTTCCTCCTCCTGCTCCAGCTCCTCCGCCTCCTCCTCCTCCTCCTCCTCCTCCTCCTCCTCCTCCGTCCTCTGTCCCCCCTCCTCCCTCCTCAAGGAGGAAGGGACGGAGGAGGAAATGGAGAAGGAGGAGGAGGAGGAGGAGGAGGAGGAGGAGAGGGAGGAAAAGCAGTAGGAAATGGAAGAAGAGGAGTCCTCCTCCTCCTGCTCCTCTTCCATTTCCCCCCCCGTCCTCCATTCTCTCCTCCTCCTCCTCCTCCTCCTCCTCCTCCTCCTCCTCATCGGCAAAACGATGAACAAGACAACGATCACTTGGTGGGCGCTTGCAGTCGAGCAGCTGATTCGGATCCCTCCTGGCGAAAGCTTGGGCCAGCGCCTCTTGGCCAGCTTGCCCGAAGCGTGGCCCGGCTTCGGGAGCAAGCTCGCCCTCCCAGCGTCGGCAACAGAACCTGGCCCAGTCTTGCCTTAAGAAACTCCCTGGAAGCTGGCCCAAATGTCTCAATGTATGAGCTTCTGAATCGCAGTTCCGGCTGCGTGTCGCTCTGCCGGTTGTGGCCCGCCACGCTTCGGCACGGTGCGCCATCCACTTCGCGGTCCCGAGGCGGGCACGGTCCGAGCCTTTCCAATCTTCCCGTGCCGCGAGGATCGGAGCGACACATCTCCGCTTGCAGGGGCTACAGCGTGTCGCCGGGGCCGCCGCCGCTAGCAGCGAGGAGGAGGAGAAGGAGGAGGAATAGGAGGAGGAGGAGGAGAAGGAGGAGGAGGAGGAGGAGGAGGAGGAGGAGGGGGAGGGGAAAGGGGGAGGAGGGGGAGGGGAAGGGGAAGGGGAAGGAGAAGGAGGAGGAGGAGGAGGAGGAGGAGGAGGAGGAGGAGGAGCCTCCCTTCTCTGGGCTTCGCGGATTCACCTGCCGAAGGCTCCCCCCCCCTCGGGAGGGGGCATTGGCCGCTGCAAGTCCTTCAGACTGGAGCCAAGCGCGCTGACTCGGAGGACGCGTCATGGGGGTGCGATACGGTGGAGGTGTTTGTTAAGGAATAGTCCCAGGAGACGCCAAACCCTAGAGGATTCCTCATTCAATGAGGACAGCGGTGGTGTCCAGGGCCGATCCCCGATTGGCGTTCCTCTGGCTTCCAGACCCCGGGTTCCTTATCTAAGGGTTCCTTATCCAATGCCCCCACCGTAAATGGGGGGGCAGCGAGATCTGCAGAAAGGGGCACTGCATGGCCCCTGATGGGGCCCTCCAGGGCCCAGAAGAGGGCCCGAGGGCCCCTCATTACTTCGCGCCCAGCCGAGAAGTCTGTTGACACGGCCTGTGGGAGGGTCGTTCCCCCGAGGGCCGCGCTGAACAGACTCAGCAGGCCAGGGGGCTCCTTGGGCAGGCGCGCACCCCCCGCGCCGGGCACCAGCGCGAAAGGATCCGGGACATTGGGGCAAGGTGGAGGATGGAGGAGGAGGAGGAGGAGGAGGAGGAGGAGGAGGAGGAGGAGGAGGAGGAGGAGGAGGAGGAGGGAGGGAGGGAGGGAGGGAGGAGGGAGGAGGGAGGAGGAGGAGGGGAGGAGGGAGGGAGAGGGAGGAGGAGGAGGAGAGGAGGACGAGGAGGAGGACGAGGAGGAGGAGGAGGACGACACGCGCCCCCCTTGCCCCCGTATTCCAAGGTCGGCAGGGAACAGAACGCTGCACTCCCCTCCAGCGCCGTCGCCCGCCAACTTTGAGATACGGGGTGCTGGGGGGTTCTGTCGGCGTTTCTCTTGGTGAGCGTTTTCTTATTCGGCGTTTCGACGTTGGGCGGAAGGGGGGGGGAGGGAGGGGGTCTGGCTCTGGACCTCTGCTTGGTGCGACTGTTTGCACCAGTGCGTCCAGTATGGGGGAGACTCCGCCTGTTCGAAACAGGCGCCCCAAACAGCCAAGAGCTACTCCATGGGCGGGGGGGAGGGAGGGGTGTGCGAGGGCCCGCGCCGATTGGCAAAACAGTGAACAAGAAAACGATCACTGTCTGGACCCAGCACGGGCGCTTGCTTCGCAGACAGCGGTGTCCCGAAGCTCCAGGCCGCAACCTCTGGCTGCTGCGAGGCCGTTCTGCCTCGAGGCACCCTGCGGCCTGGGCGGCACGGAGGTGGGCCGCCAGGGCTGTGGGGCTCCCTGCGGGGGTGGCGCCTCGCCGTGCCGCCCTGCCCTTCTCCCCTTGCTCTCGCCCTGTCTCCTGTGGTGCCCCGCCGGCGTGTCTTCAGCAGCCCCAGGCCCCCGACACCGTGCTTTTTTCTCTTGACGCGCCCCCCCCAGAGGTCCGGGGACCCTTTCCCCGGGACCGGCTGTGCATCCTGCGCCGTGTTTGGGCTGTCCCGAGGCCCAGCGAGGGCCGCCAGAGGCCGCACACAGCGAAAAAAAAACCCAGTCGTGATTGTTGCATGCCTCGACGGGGTAGCGAGAAGCCTCCAGCCGTGAGTTGTTCGTGCCTCGACGGGGTCTGGGGCCGTCTCCTCGAGGCACAGGGGGCTCGGCCTCCCCGCCGCTCGGCGGTGCCACCTGCTCCCCAGGTATGATTAGGGGGCATCGCCTGACGGCCGAGGGGGCCCAGGAGCGCGCTCACTCAGAGGGCCCAAGGGGAGCCCCAGGAGCCCAGGACCCCCCAAGAGGGCCTCGAGGCAGCGGCCAAGTCGGTCCGAGAGGGCCCATAGATCATAGAACCCACCGGGAGCGCTCCAGGACACGCTGCGACGCCAGCACAGCCTGGAACAAGCCGAGGCTTCTCCGTGCGGCCTGCCAGTAGCTGGCCTGACGTTCCTCCGTCGTCCGCCGATGGCTGAGATGAAGCCAAGATCGCACAAGGATTGCCGCAGGAGGGCCTCCAGATGCCTCAAGACGCCACCGGCATCGCCCGGCAAGGCCCCGGGAGGCCGGACGTCGGCCAAAGGATGCCCCCAGGAGTCCCAGAGCTGCCCGCTAGAGCCCTACCGGGGCCCTGAGATGGCCCGACTACGACTGCCCGATTGAGTCAGCCCCCAGGGGCCCCAAGATGTCATGAGCTAAGACGAGATAACCTCAACCACGGAGTTGAGGGCTCCACCGAGGCCACCCCGGATCCCACAGCGGCAGATGCCTTGCGCGAGGCGACCGATGTTAAGTGCCGCGCACGCAGGTCATCACCGCGGGGGGGTCGAGGTCGGCCTGAGGGAGGCGCCAGGAGTGGTTCCTCAGCCCAGCGGTTGTGGTTGACTCCTCTTCGCTGCACCTGAGGATGCTCCCGGATGACACAACAAGGCCTAAGGTTAGGTCGGGCCTGTCCCCCTACAGGGGGAGCTTGGGCGAAAAAATAAATACACAAGCATGGCCAAGAATAATCAAAAATAGTAAAACTAGAATCCCCAAACTATGTTTAGACTATTTTGAATATTCCTCCTGCGAGGGACAGGCCCGACGTAAGCCTAATTAAGGTGGCCCAAAGTGCATTCCCAAGACGGCTCTGCTCGGGGGGCCAACGACTCAGGACGCAGCCCCTCCAGACATCGGGACACAAGAGGCACGCGCACATCCAGGATCATGCGACGTGCAGCCCGTGTGCGAGGAAGTCTTGTGAGATAGCGTGGGCGTCAGAGTGTGTGTGGGGGGAACAGGGGTTTAGACGATGAGGGGAGGATGGCGTGTACGGGAAGATCAGGACCAGCGAACGGTCGGTCGCGTGGCAGGAACGGTCCACTGCGAGATCTGACTGGCATCTACGACGATTTCTGACCGAGTCGTGACGTACATGTCAACCTGGCTTGAGAGGAGGAGGAGGAGGAGGAGGAGGAAGAGGAGGAGATGATGGAGCAGGAGGAGGATTTTGCCCGCTACAGGCCCTTCCACCTCTGCAGTGACGCTCTGGCGGCCTGGAGGGGCAGGCCGCCAGCCCTGGTCGCTTAAAGGTCCGACCAGGGTCCTCGCTCTACCGTGACTCTGTCATTCTTCGGATGCAGGCCACGGCATATTCTCTGCCAACAATGCCGAGCACCCGCACTGTTGGGGTGCTCGGCGCACTGACGAGACAAATTCATGGCTCGCTGCCCGCTGATGGCCTTGCACCTCGGGCAAACGATAAGGCGGGTCGAGTCGGAGCACTCGAGAGAAATGCATCGGTGCCCCTTCTCTGCAAGCAGCGCAGGATCAAGTCGACTACGTTGAGGGCAAACGCCAGGCGGAGGAGGCCAAAACCAACCTCCAATCCCATGTTCCTGCGGCGGGGCCCGAACCCCGCGAGAGGCTGACAAACACACAGTGCATCTCCAGAAAGCTCCAATCTGCTGCCAGGCGTGCGGGGTGGCAGCAGCTGTCCCAAGGCCAGCACCGCTCTCACGACACACGACCTCACGGGCGACATCAGGACCAATCTCGAGAGGCGGCCATAGCGGGAGGAGCTTTGCCGCCAACACTCCCACAGCTCGCGCGACTGCATATTGCCGATCAAACTCCTCCACCTGCTCCCTGCTGGGCTGCGGGTGGGAAGCCGCAGCGACCTTGGCTGCGGCATCCACATAATTATTACCAATACGGAAGAAGCGGTCTCGGTCGTCGGCCGCTTCGTCTACTCTTTGATGAGCCTTCACCTTGCTCGTAGTGATGACTGGTAAATTCTCACGCACGAACTGGGCACACCCCGAGTGCAGGCGTTTGTGGCTGGTCTGTTTTGTCCAATCTAAACTAGCATAATCTACAACATTCTGGCAATCAGAATGTATGGTAGATGGGTTGGCAACAAACCTAGCAGCGGCACAAAAAGCGTGGTATTCTGCACTCTGGGGGGTCTGGAGGTAGGGAGGCCACACAGGGCCCCGAATCCTGATCATCTCCTGCATGTTGGAAGGGTCGAGCAACGAGACGGCCCATCCAGCGCGTGAAAGCTCGCCCACAGGGTGTCGTAGGCAGGAACCGTCCACAAAAATCTGACCAGCGAAGTCTTGTTCGAAAACCAAATGCTCGCACCCCTCACAAAGCTCCGCGACGACCCCCTCCTCGAACGACGGCTGGGGGAAGGCCTCAGCTGGGTGGGGGAAGAGGCCGTAGCAAGCCAGGGTGTCGTCCGCTTGGCCTGCCCACTCTCGCACCTTAGCTGGAATCAACTCCGTCCTGAGTTCCTCACAGGCAGAGCAGCGCCAGAGACGGTGACGAATCGTGTCGCCCCCGTCTCCACAAAGAGAACAGGTGGTATCAATAACATACCCCAGGGATCTGGCCTTGACCCTGGTGTAGGTGGCATTGCAGAAGAGAGGGCGGACACAACCTTTTTCGAAAGCCGTAAACTTCCGAGAGGTGAGGAGACTGAGGATCCCATCAGTGCAAACCCTACCGAGATTGCGCCTAGCTCCCAGATCCCACTCGAGGGTACGACGCACCGCTCTCCCAAGCAGCGACCTGACCATCGCGGGCGAGACCTGGGTCAAGTGAATATCGAATCCTTTCTCATCACGGAGCACCGTGAAGGAAGGCATGGACCACGAAACACGCTCAAGCGACTTCCTCTCATCGCACTGATCGGGCCCGCGACACTTCTCCAGAGGCCCGAGGGCCTCGAAAACACAGCATTCCAAGCCGAACGAAGCGTGGCGAACGAGAGGGCATGAGGGCAAAGCCGATGATGGGTGGTCCAAACCTCTTTCGCCCAGCGGCAGATAGGGGCAATGGAGGCGACCCACGGTGGGTCGTCGTGGCACAGCATGAGAGCGGTGAGCGACCGACCTCCAGCACTAGAATTCATGGCCTTCCCAGCCAACTGCCTGAGGGAGAGGAGCTCGTGGTCCGTGACCCCAGAGATCTCGCACCCATACACGGCCCCAGGGAGAGGACCCGCGACGAAAACAGTACGACAACGCTTACCCGAAATGGTGGGCCTCATTCGAACCAAACGAGCTGTCCTATCTTTCGCTTTCCTAACCCTTTCCTTAGCCTTGGAGTCTCTCCCTCGAACCCTAGACGGCCTACCGGCGCAAAAATCAACTCCCAAATTGGTCGCCGAGTCGGAGTCCAGGATCGGCCCCGCGAGACCCCCGAGAGCCCGAGAGATGGCTTTGCCTAAGGGGCGCGAGGAGCAAACTAAGGACATCTTTTCCTTACTGATGACCGCGCCCACTCCGTGGACGAGGGCGTCATGCAAGTCAGCCGCGGCCTGAGGTAGCCGCTTTAAAACTTGTTTAAAGGAACCCGTGGCAGACAGGCCTCCATCGTCGATGTAGAGTTTGAACTGGACGGCCTGAGGGAGGCGGAGGGCGTCCAAATCTTGAATAGCATTACCCCTGATGAAGGTCGTGGCCAGGGAACGCCCCGCCACAACCCCCACCAGGGCCCAGATGGGCCCGTCCACAAATCTTCCCAAGGAAAGAAACCTGCCCTGGGAGTACATGGCAATGCACAGGTACGAGATACCAACAGGGAAACCAACCTGGTGAGCACGGAGGGCCAGGACCTGGAGATCCAGGGTCTCATAGTACTTGTACAAGTCAGTTAACAGAGTGGCACATTCCTTCCCTTGAGTGGTGTTGGCCTCGGCATGGCAGGCCTGGCGCCAGACGACGTCCTGCGCACCTTCAAACGGGCCAGCACAAAAATACTCTCTCGTAAATCTAGCTTCCCACTCATCGGCGAGAGTTCGGCGACGCTTGTCATAAACTCTAAACACACTGCAGAAGATGCCAATAGGACGGAACCCCGATGACGGTTTAGCAATCAGAGCCATGATGATGATGGAAATTTGCATAGGGATGACAGCCGACCTCTCCATCAATCCAAAGATGTCGCACAGGAGGCTGGGACTGGCATAAGACATCATCGCGAAATGCTTCATATGAAATCCATCAACCGAAACAGCCGTGCGCTCTCGGAACCCTTTGGAGACCGCACGGATATCTTCGGGCCTAAACTCGGGCAGAGCAAGGGACAAGATACCCTTGGGGAGCCACGGGCGGGCCTTTCCGTTCCCCCAGAGGCTCGAGAATCGCTGGCTCTCGGCACGAAGGAGGGACAAGGGGTCAGCAATCACAACACCGTCACTAGCCAAGGTGGTGGTAGGCCTCCAGGGGGTGGCCCCCTTCGAGACCATATGTATCTTCCTCGCCCCTTGATCCGCCTTCTCTAACAGCCAGTCTCTCCATTCAGCCGAGGCCGCCTTCCTGGCGTCGTTCTCGACTTCCTGCATGCGGTCGTTAAACGTGTTGCGCCAGCAGACAAAATCACGAGAAATGACTGTGGAGCAGGAGGAGGAGGAGAAGGAGGAGGAGGAGGAGAAGGAGGAGGAGATGAAGGAGGAGGAGGAGATGAAGGAAGGTGAGGATGATGATGAGGAGGAGGAGGAGGAGGACGGAGGAGGAAGAGGAGGGGAAGGAGGATTGTGCTAGGATTGTGCTACTTAGGACCTACGCAGATGGAGAGCACCACGCAAGCCGCCTCACGCCTTGCAAGCCGTACTTACATAGGCGTTCCTGGTGAATGGCCGCACTCCCATAACGAATCAGTCTACCCTTGGCCGTTCTCGTTCGGGATGGTGGATACCTCCTTCACAATACCGTCCACTTACACTGACCGCCAGAAAAGCTTGGCCTAGAACGCGGCTGACACGCCTGACAGTCCTTGCTGCCACTGCCTGTCTTCCCCTTCTCGCACGAGTTGATGCCAGCGTTGTAGCTAGGATATTGGGCTCCAGCTACGCCCCCCACTTCTCGCGCGAAGCTTGCCCAGAGCTCTCGACTAAATTTGGCCCCAGTTTCACCCCCCGTTTCCCGCAAGAGGCTTCTCACAGAGCTCCCGCCGATACTGGGCTCTAACTTCGCCCCCCACTTCTCGCAAGAGGTTGGCCCTGAGCTCTCGACACTAGTGGGTTCCAGCTTCGCCCCCCGCTTCTCGCAAGAGGTTTGCCACAGAGTGCCCGACAATATTGGGCTCCAGCTTCGCCCCCCGCTTCTCGCAAGGTGCTTCCACTGACTCCCAGCCCTTCCGCACACGAGCTGATCCCAGCGCTGTAACTGAAGATGTCCGCTCCTGCACTTGACATTTTCTCGCAATGCCAGATCCTGCTGCCACTGCATGCCCTTCTCGCATTGCCAGTTCCTGCTGCCACTGCTTGCCTTCGCACCCGAGCTGATCCCAGCTTGATAGCTGATGACGTTACTCGTGCACTGCTCGCCTTCCTTACATGTCTTCACCTTGCCCTGATCCCAACGCTGTGGCTGATGGCATCGGGCTCGTCCTTGAACGGCCTCCCTCCTCACCGCAGGCTTCCAACGTCGCGTCGGATGTAGCTGACGGCATCGGGCTCGTCCTTCACCTGGACACGGTGCCAGCGCCTGCTGCCACTGCCTGCCTTCTTGCTCGCACGGGCTGCTCCCAGCGTTGTTGCTGATCGTGGCCCACCCGCACTTTTCTCGCAGCGCCAGCGTCGGCTGCCACTGCTTGCCCCCTTTCTCCCACGGGCTGCTCCCAGCGGTCCTGCTGATCGTGGCCCACCCGCAGTTTCTTCGCAGCGCCAGCGCCAACTGCCACTGCTTGCCTTCTCGCACGGCCTGATCCCTACACTGTAGCTGATCAAGCCCATGCTTTGCCTGCACTTCCGCCGCGGCGCTCGGATTGCCGGCGCTGCAGCTCGCCAGACTGACGAGGGGAAGGGGAAGGAGGAGCAAGAGGACGACGAGGCAAAGGAAGGGAGGGCGGAGGGAGCCCAGTCTCCTGGCGGGTGCGCACGCGCCTGATCTCAGCATTGTGGCTGATGACGTGGGGCGCCACGCCTCTCGATGTCGGCTCTCGCGAGCAGTGCCATTTCGAAGTTGGCCCGCGAAACACCCTTGCGCGCCCCGTGCAGGGGGGGCCGCTCGGGCGCGAAATGGCTGAGGGGAAGGAGGAGGAGGAGGGAGGAGCGAATGGAGGAGGACGGTCCTATTCTTGGCCGCTCCCCGGCCCTGCCCCCACGACTGCCGCTGCGCGCCCGGACGACGCGGGCGGCGCGGTGCAGGCTTCACGCGCGGCCCGGCGCGGGCGGCATCTCCGAGTAGGACGCCTCGCTCGCCCCGGCGCTCCTCACTAGGCTGCCCGCCTCACTGCTCCTCCTCCCCCTCCTCCTCCTCCTCCTTCTCCACTCTCCACCTCCACCTCCTCCTCCTCCTCCTCCTCCTCCTCCCGAGCATTTTCTTAGGGTGGAGGTTTCAGGGCGAAATCCATATATATATATATATATATGCTTTTGCACCTCGAACATCAATCCGTCTTGTGATTCACCTTCTGCAAATTCAAGCCTGGAACATCCATCGAAACGGCATTTCACTTCTCACCCTTCGGCCTCCACCCAAAAAACGTGCTAGGTCCTCCTCCTCCTCCTCCTCCTCCTCCTCCTGAGCATTTTCTTAGGGTGGAGGGCTCAGGGCGAAATCCATATAGGATTTGGCACCTCGAAAATAAATCCGTCTTGTGATTCACATTTTGCAGATTCAAGCCTGGAGCATCCATCGAAGGGGCATTTCAGTTTTCACCCTTCGCCCTCCACCCAAAGAACGTGCTC